GATGTGCCTTGTGGCTGCCTATAAATTCATCACGGGGGTGCAGAAGGGAATTGGTGAGGCTCTACTCACCAAGGTCCCCCTGGGGGTCGCAAGAAATAATGGCCATAAGCTATCAGAGAGCAGATTTAGACTGGACATTAGGAGGAACTTCTTCACAGTTAGAGTGGCCAAGGTCTGGAATGGGCTCCCAAGGGAGGTGGTGCTCTCCCCTACCCTGGCGGTCTTCAAGAGAAGTTTAGATAGGCATCTGGCTGGGGTCATCTGGACCCAGCACACTTTTCTGCCTATGCAGGGGGTCGGACTTGATGATCTATTGAGGTCCCTTTCAACCCTAACATCTATGAATCTATGAATCTATGAATTACTACTCTCTGAGCCCAATGCTCCAGCCAGTTTTCTATCCAACTTACAGTCCATTCATCCAGCCTGTACTTCCTTAGTTTGCCTGCAAGAATGTTGTGGGAGACCGTACCAAAAGCCTTGCTAAGATCAAGGTATGATCTCCCTGCATCCACAGAGCCAGTCATCTCATCATAGAAGGCAATCAGGTTGGTCAGGCATGATTTGCCCTTGGTGAATCCATGCTGACTGTTCCTAATCACCTTCTTTTCCTCCAAGTGCTTAGAAATGGATTCCGTGAGGACCTGCTCCATGATTTTTCTGGAGACTGAAGTGAGGCTGACTGGTCTGTAGTTCCCTGGACCCTCCTTTTTCCCTTTCTTAAATATGAGCACCATTTTGCCCTTTTCCAATCACCCGGGACCTCTCCTGATCTCCATGAGTTTTCAAAGATGATGGCCAGTGGCTCTGCAGTCACAACAGCCAACACTTTCAGCACGCTTGTGTGTATCCCATCTGGCCCCATGGACCTGTATATAACCAGCTTTTCTAAATAGTTCCTAACCTGTTCTTTCGCCACTGTTGGCTGCTCATCTCCTCCCCAAACTGTGCTGCCCAGTGCAATAGTCTGGGAGCTGACCTTGCCTGTGAAAACAGAGGTGAAAAAGCCATTGAGCACTTCAGCCTTTTCTGCATCCTCTGTCATAAGTTTGCCTCCCTCATTCAGTAAGGGACCCACAACTGTCCTGATCCTTCTTTTGCTACTGACATACTTGTAGAATCCCTTCTTGTTACCCTTGACATCCCTTGCTAGCTGCAACTCCAATTGTGCTTTGGCCTTCCTAACTTCTTCCCTGCATGCCTGAGCAATGTTCTTATACTCTTATACTTAGGAAGGGGAGAGCAGTGGATTTGAATGGTGCCAGAGTAGTAAAAGTGGGGCACAATCTATGCTGGTATTATGCTAGTGCCCCCAAAAACTCTGCACCTGAATCCCATTCTACACCCCCCTCCCCAACCCATACCCCAGCTCTGCCAAGGTCTTAGCTCCTGCTCCCAGGTCTGCCACAGCACTTTGGTTCCTGACATGCAATAGTCCTAGCTACCCCTGTCCTAGGGTTTCATGCAGAGCTTTGCCATTACCCCTGACTTCCCATCCTAGCTATTCTAAGCCTAAGTCCCGTTTGAACTGAGTCTGGCAGGTTGTGAAGAACAGCAGGTACTTCCCAAGTGACCTACTTGAACAGTCACAAGTCACAGATGTGGCCACAAGGATTTAATTCATTTGGATTCTATACAAGAGCTTGAATTGGCTCTCCACTTTAGCCCTGTGAGGAACCAGTCCCCCCCACCCAGCCATCCTCCCATCTAGCTGGAACTTAGCCTGGACTTCCTTCTGTTCAACACCAGAAGAGCTGGCTGGTGGTGACCCTCTGGTACCTGCCCAGGCCCATCTCAGTGACAGCCTTAGCTGCAGACTCAAGAGAGAGAGGAATGAGCATGATACTCAGCCCAGCACACTCCTGAATCAGAGAGGAAAGGGTGCTGGCGCAAAGCAGTGGGGAGTGGAAAGGTGCCAGGAGCCCTTTGGAAGGTTTGCATAGGGAATGAGAGGAAGTCGATGATCCCTTACCATCATGTGCCAGGTGCACTGTGTGTTGGGTGCATAGTAGCTGGGGTAGTATGGAGTGCTGATCTTCCCCCGCAGCTCCAGGTCTTCTGGAAGTGTGAGATTTACCTGACAGGCTGAAAACACAGTCACAGCCCACCTCAGTATAGCATTAGGCTGGGAACACAGAATCATCACCCAAACCCTCGAAGGAGGCAAGGACCACATCCCACCCCAGGAAAAAGGATGCGTGGAAAGTGTGGAATAATGTGGCTGTTGGAGAAACATGGGGCTGCTTGCTGAGTTTATGGGCTGGTGTGCTCTGCTTGGAGACTAATTTCAAACTTTCCAAGCTGTTCTGGGTGAGCATCCCAGAGACATTCCACCTCATGCGACCTTCTTCCCGAGCTGGGACCTCTCAAAGATGGAAAGCAGAAGGAACCACCTGTAGGGACAGGTATCTGCTCAGCTCCATGCACAACTATGCCATCTTTCCCGAGAGAATATACTTGGAAAAGGGAGACAGAGGCACCATATAGCACACAATGATAGTGAGAGGAAATCTCCAGAGAAATGAGACAGTGGGAACAGCACAAAAGTTGGAGGGGGATGTAAACAGGAACACCTGCTTGGGAATGAGCTTCCACAGAACCACAGGCTAGGTTCTTACAAGCTAAGACATGTCAGGCCTGGCTAAAGCATGTCTGTGCTCTTCCTTGTCATTCAGTTGCTGTTGTGCCAACCTGGTGTGAGGGGCTGCTGGGTTCCTAGAGTTGCATCCTTTCAGCTGAAAACCAAAGCCATGACTGATTGTAGTTGTTAAAGATCCCAGGGCACTTGATACCATGTAATGCTTTTAGCTTCCTTCTCCTGGCCAAAGATGAGTAATTACAGTACGTTTTGCTGTGACTCCCCTGTTGCTTTAGTTGAATACAGTATCATTCTTTCTTTCTATCCACCTAGGCACTTATCACAGTCCAGACAGGGGAAAAAAGGAAGAGCTATTGCCTTCTACATGAAAGAGATGTACATGTGTTCTGAAGTGCACTACAAAGTGGAAGGTAAGCCTGTTGAAAGTTTCTGGATAAAGGTTCGAGGAGAGAACAGCAATGGGGATATCATGGTGTGCATCTGCTATGGGCCTCCAAACCAGGAAAAAGAGGTTGACAAGGACTTCTTTAAACAACTGATGGAAGTTTCTAAATCATGAGACCTCATTCTCATGGGGAACTTTAATTACTAAAACATCTGTTGAGAGGGAAACAGTGGTCCACAACCAGTTCAGCAAATCTGTGGAATGTGTTGAGGATAACTTTTTATACAGATGGTAAAGGGGCTAACTAGGGAGGAATTGGTTGAGAATGTGAAGGTGGAAGGTAACTTGGGTGACAGTGACCACAAAACGATAGAGTTCAAGATCCTATGGGGAGGAAGGAAGGAGAGCATCAAGGTAAAAACACTGGACTTCAGAAAAGCAGACTTTCACAAACTCAGGGAACTGGTAGGCAGGATCACCTGGGAGGCAAATCTGAGGGGAAAAGGAGTCCAGGAGAGTTGGCTGTACTTTAAGGATGCTATATTAAGGGTGCAGGAGCAAGCAATCCCAATGTGATAGAAGAGTGGGAAGTTCAACAGGAGACAAGCCTGGATGGACAGCGGTCTCTTCAATGAGTTGAAACTCAAAAAGGAATCCTACAAAGTGGAGTAGGAGCATAAGAATAAATCTCACACACATTCAGGGAGAAAGTTAGGAAAGACAAGGTATGATTTGAGATGTTACTGGCAAGGGACATAAAGGGGGAAAAAAGGCTTCTACAAGTATGTTGAAAGTAAAAGGAAGACCAAAGACACTATAGGTCCTTATGGAATACTGAAGGCAACTTAGTTATGCATGATGCTGAAGATAAGACTGAAGTATTTCATGTGGTTTTTTTTACTTTCATTTTCACAGATAAGGGCAACTATCAAATGATGAGCATAGCTGTCAGCCAAGATAGGAAAGAAGACGTATAGGCTAGAATAGAGGAAGAATTACATAGAGAATTACTTAGAGAGGGATTACTCAGAGAAGCTAGATGCTTTCAAGTTATCAGGGCCAGATGGGATGCATCCTAGGGTGCTGAAGGAATTGGCTGAGGTAGTTTTGGAACCATGTCTTCTTTGAAAACTTGTGGAGGTTGGGTGAGGTACTGGATGATTGGAAAAGGGCAAACATAGTGCTCATGTTTAAGAAAAGGAGGAGGAGGATCTGGGGAATTACAGATCAGTCCAGTCTGACCTTTATACCTGAAAAAATCATGGAGCAGGTCCTCAAGAAATCTATTGTGAAGCACCTAGAGAACAAGGTGATCAGGAACAGCCAGCATTGATTCACAAGAGCAAGTCATGCCTGACCAACCTGATTTCTTCTATGATAAGATGACAGGCTCTGTGGATGGGGAGAAAGCAATGGATGCGATATACCTTGATTTAGCAAGGCTTTTGACACTTTCTCCCATGACAGTCTCATTAATAAGCTGAAGTGATACAGACTAGATGAAAGAATGGTGAGGTGGATACATAACTGGTAGATTCATCATGCTCAACAAGTAGTTATCAATATCTAGTTGGGAGGAGGTATCAAGTGGGGTTCCCCAGGGGTCTGTCCTGGGTCCACTGTTGTTATATATTCATTAATGCTTTGGATGATGGGTTTGACTGCGCACTGAGCAAGGTTGCAGATGACCCCAAGCTGGGTGAAGCTGCAGACACTCTAAAGTCTAGAGAATAGGGCTAGGATCCAGAATGACCTGGATAGACTGGAAAAATGGTCTGGAATCAACCAGATGAAATCCAACAAGTCCTGAACCTGGGACAGAATAACAGCATGCACAAATACAAACTGGGGAACAACTGGCTAGGCTGCAATATTGCAGAGAAGGACCTGGGGGTTACAGTGGACCATAAGCTGAATAGAATTCAACAGTGTGCTCTTGTTGCAAAAAAAATCCAATGGCATACTGGGTTATATTAATGGGAGTATCACTTGAAAATCCAGAGAAGTAATTCTTCCACTCTATTCAGGACTGGTGAGGCCTCATCTGGAGTACTGTGTCCAGTTTTGGTCTCCACACTTCAAGAAAGATGTGGATAGATAGGAAAGAGTCCAGAAGAGAGAGGCAATAATGAGTAGAGGTCTGGAAAGCGTGACTTATGAGGGCAGGCTGAAAGAACTAAGGATATTTAGTATGGAGAATAGAAAACAGAAGGGGATTTGATAAGTCTTCAGATACCTGCAGGGCAATTATAGAGAGGATGGAGATACACTATTTTCTGTCATTGTAGAGGACAGGACTAGGAGCAATGGCCTCAAGCCACAGCAGAAGAAATTTAGGGTGGAGATCAGGAAGCACGTTCTGACTATGAGAGTAGTCAAGCAGTGGAACAGGCTGCCTAGAGAAGTTGTGGAATCTCCATCTCGAAATTCTCAAAAGCAGGTTGCACAGACACTTAGCTGGGATGCTTTAGTCAGGGATGATCCTACCATGAGCAGGGGGCTGGGCTAGATGACCTCACCTTCCAGCCCTGATTCCCTCGGATCCTATGATCTGGCTCCATCACAGTAGCATCACACATTCTTCAGGGAGCTCCAAGTCCAAATTGTTGTGTAGTGCTTTGGAGCACTGTTGAACAGCTACCAAGCTCCTTGGAGCATTTCCAGGCAGTGGTGAGGAAGGCTACTTGATCCAGGGTCTAAAAATGTATGAGATTTTCTAGTGCCTTCAGTTCTCCTTCCCTCCTTCCCTCCCTCCCTGCCTCCGTATGTCCTCACCTTCAAGGGGTACAGCTTGGGCAGAGAGGATGAAAGGATCATAGTAACTGTACATTGCTTTCTTCCACACCACAGCCATGACATGACCTGAAGAAAGGACCTCCACTACGGGCTCCTGACGGTTGCAGCCATAGACTCTGAAACGAGAGACAGGAGGAAGTGAGAAGGGGGATAAGCATGTGTAAAGAAGGTAGGGAACTGAGGGAGAGAAGAGAGGGAGAAAGACAAGAAGCAGATGAGATTGTCCAGACCTCTAGTGAGATTTGCATGTTGCTAGACACTAATAAAACAAATCAAGATGTAGCATAAGGAACAGGGCTCAGATCTGGGTATGAAAGGGTTTCCCCTTGTTAGGACCTTTTCTCAAGCCAAACCACTCTAATGATGAATATTAGACCAAAGGATATCCCCTTGTTTGGTTCCCAACTCTAAGCTGGGGGAACATTATCCCTTTCAAGAAACCCCTCATTTTACCCTTCACACTAATACATGACACGTCCCTCCTCTGAGGAACCATGGCATCAAATCCAGAGCTGGCATAAAATCAGCACATTTCCCATGAAATCAAAGGAGCTACATCCATTTACATCAACTGAAGAGCTGTCCGTAGGCTGCAATGCTCTTTATAAGGCCTCTGTACCTAAACAGAGCTGGGCTATTCTGAAGACAACTTTCATATTCTTAGGCCCTTACCAGATACTGTGGTCTCTGAGGCACTAAAAGTGCAAAACATTGCCATCGTATCCAGAGGCTGCTATGAACACCTTCACCTACTACTTTTTAAAAAATGTGCTAAACTACAGGGTTGCCTCAATAATATCCCCCAACACTGAGTTCTGCTACTGTGTTCTATTATGCTGCATCCAAGAGCATTTCCTCTCATTTGTGTTAGGGGCATTTCCTTGCCCTGGTGTTGTGAGTAGCACCCTGTGCTTTCCTTTCCTTCAACCACTCTCTAGATTTGGTACCACTGTCTTAGGAAGCTACCTACGAGGTGATGAGACGGTTCTCCAGCGGCCCAGCCTCGTCATACATGGCCAGTCGGTCCCTGCAGTCTGGGAGGGTCCACTCCAGATGCAGCTTGATCATATGACCCTTGGGGCCATGGAGGTGCCAAAGACAACTGGAGGCCAAGTAGTCAGGGCCCTTCAGCTTTAGGGCTTCATCCTCCCGCACATAGCTGTATCTGTAACAACCTGAAGCCATGAAACAAGCAGAACATCAGAGTGTCATCAGTCTGAGGTGGGGTTCTTGGGGCGGTCTTGATAATATGGTCATCATTTAGGGCATTTATGTAAGTCCTTAGTATGTGGTTAGGCTCTCTGTTAGCCTAATTTCTCCCACTGATCTCAGTTTATTTTCAAACTTATCCCAGTTGCTCACACTGACTCTCAGTGCCACTGGTCCGTTTTCCCTGGAATCCTATTTCTTTCTAGCAACATCTCGTCTGCCTCCCTGGTCTCCCAGTGACAACAGCATCCTCTCACTAGCATCCTATTTCCTCTTGGTGAACCCATGCAATAGCATAACTGAGGGGGGAGACCCAGGCAGAAGCCCTGTATGCCATTTTTGCGGGGGAGTGCAAAAGCAGCCATTGCCATACTGATTGTACTGCTGCAATCATCAAAGCATGGGCTGGCAATGCTCCAGGCACTGGACAGCTGCCCCAAATACAGAGCTTTGCTGCTCTGCATCTGACACCATGACCTTTTACTGGTATCCCCATTCCTCACAGTGACTTCCCTCCTCTCTCAATGGTAACCCAATTCCTCCTAGTGACACCAATCTATTCTCTGTGGTCTAACAGTTCTTTCCACTGACATCACTTGTATTAGTCTTCTAGTTCTTCTCATTGCATCAGCTCCCTCCCCATATTTCTCACAGTGATAATAATCCCCTTGCACTGTATTTTAGTTCCCCTCAATTCCCCTTTCACTAGTATCTCAGTTCCTCTTAGTTGCCCTTTCACTAGTCCCAGTTCCTGTCAATGTTACCAGTCCCCACTCATGAGCTAACACCATGCTAATTATTTCATTCCTCTAATTACTAGGCAGACCTTCACTCAAACTTTACTTTCCACTTGCCTCATTCTCCTGGTTCTTGGCCCCACTCTTCCTTACCCTATAACCTACCCTGCTTTACAGGGCATCCTGTCTCTTTTCCCTTTTACTCTTCTAAATCTCTCCAGGTCTGTAGCTGTGAAATGGTGAAATACAGGGAGAGTTTCTACATGCACACACATACCACAAAGCCTGAGCATGTAGAGCTATCGGCAATAGCATTTGCGACATAGGGCAAACGTTTCAAAAACACCCATGTGACTTCTAAGTCTCAGCTTCAAACATGATGTAGCCACCTGCAGGCCTTGAGAATCAACCTGACTTAGGCTCCTAAATCATGGAGCTGCTCTTGAAAGTGGTGTCCATCGTATGCACTGTTGCCTCCTGGGTATGATTCTCTCTACCTCAACTGCCCTGATGTCCTGGTTCAGAAAAGCCAATAATGATTCTGGCCACACCATAATTCCACCCAAAACATAACAAACTCAAAAAAGAAAGGGAAAAGATGGCCTACCCAGAGTGGATTTCAGCACTAATAAGTCTTTCACACTGGATTCTGTTAGAAAAGAAATATATAAAGATAGAAAAAAACATAAGACTGTAGTATCTAAAATCCCATGGACTTCCTTCCCATTCCCAAGGTGTCATCCTGACTGTCACTGGGCACTTCCCTTCCTTTCCATGGCCCTTATCTATCTGAGGCATCCCCCCTATTTCCCATCTCACCTGGGCCCACCTCTCCCACCTCTGCCCAAGCTTTCACAGGCCTTGCCCCCCACAGCTCATGACCCTCACCCTGCCATGCATGTCTCCCCTTCTCTTATCCATCATCTGATGCTGTTGTAGGCATTTTCTGCCAATTCCTATTGACATCAGACATTAACCAAAGCCACCACTCCCATTCATACCTCAGCTAGCTCTTCTAACTATGCTTGTTGTCAGAGCTACCATAGGGAAGCACCTTCCTTCCCACACCTCCCATGACCACAGCCCTCAGCTCTTCTCCCTCAAGCTAGGTGGAACACCTCCACCCTTTGGAGTGAGCCAAGAGGAAGAAGCTGAAGGATCCAAATCCCACAGCGGTCCATCCACTGATTTCAGCAGGGTTTGGGACTGGCCCTAAAAGAAAGGGTCAGCAGGGGAAGAAACCGACTGGAAATGGGAGAGGGATAGGGAAGATGGGTACGAGCAACCACGAGATATATACATTTGGCTCAGGGAAGAATGCCTTAATAGGATGCTGCAATCCAAAGGGGGTATACTAGCAAGAACACCAATTAAAGGGAAGCACGAAATCAGAAGCCTGATTCTCAGCACTATAGACTCTGAATATCCCTTGCTGAAAACAATAGGGGTTATTTGTAGCCACTGAGGCAAAATGTTAGGGAGAGAATGGCCCCTTATGAGCAATGCCTTCCAAATGAACTGCCTTATAAAATCTCCCTTTACAAGGAACATAAAGAAAAGACTGTCAGCAAATGCTGGAAACTTGTAAAAAAATAGTGTCACATAGTAGTTAGCCTAGCTCTAGCTCTGACTGATCAGCTCTCTCTTGGCTGGGGTGATGAAGTAAGGGAAGAGATGAGAGATAGAAGATCACTTGGTCCTGATAAAAGCCAGCAACAGCTCATTTGACTAGGAAGGCTGTTATTTTTAAACACTTCAAGGGAAAGATTGCAATTCATTCAGTTCATATTTGGTGGGCTTGAAAAGAGGTGGAGGGACAGGTGACAGAGAAAGGATCAGAGAGGCTTGTCTTGACTCTCAGGAAGATGTCCTGAGGGAATAGACAGACTCCAACAGCAAACTGGTTAGGGAGAAGGGAAAAACTGATCTGCTGGACCTGGGTTTGGGCCTGGACAAGTGATGCATTTACACTGGTGTGACTTATATCAGTTCTGAACACTAAGTGGACAGATGGTAGCTATCCCAGGAGAGCATTCAGTAAGTGGCTCTTACAGCACTTTGCCACTAAGTAGCAGAGAACAGGAAATAGCCCATTTGACTTAAACAAGCAGCTACCTGCGATAAATTGAGGGCAGACCACACTTACAGGGCAGTAACTTATACCAGTGTGCTCCTAGCTGTTTCTTGCAGAAATAATTCTACACCAGAATGGACAAAATTACAATGGTATAGGTCTGTTCCTATACCATGTCTGTTCCTTTTATTTTATACCAGGATAAATGTAAATGACAGGTATAAATGTGCTGTCTCTCCAGGCTCCTAGACAGCTTTTGCTAGGGAGATATAAAACTGAGTCTTTGAAAGAAAAGCAATGAACTCCTGTAGTTGGAGCACATCCCCTGGTGCACATGCAGCTCAGATAGCCTGCTGGTTTGTGCATAGCTGTTAATAAAAACAATGTAAGTGCAGGTTTGGGAGATTTGCATTGGCACAAATCAATAGGTTTGGGATCAAAGAGGCAGCTAACACACTTAGAAATAAGAACAACATATTTTTATACAGCAGCTTTCACTTGAGGACCTGGAGGATAAAACAAAACAAAACAAAACTTTCATGCCTGTTAATTAGCTAAGCCTCAACACCAGCAGGGGAAGGAAAGTGTTAACAAATTACTGTGTTTTATTACTCTGGCATTCCCATTTTACAGAATAAATACAATGCAAATCAAGTCACAGACCTAAGGTCACCCAGTAAAGCTCCTAAGATAGAATACAAGGAACCTGCTTGTCGTCTCCTGCTCTAACTACTTTGCCATACTCCTTTCGAAACTATTATATCTTACTCAGCTCCTAACAGTTCGTTTTGCAGTGTCTTGGAGAAATAAGAAGAGCTGGGGAAAATTACAGGTATGTGGTATTGGTTTTCCAAAACAGAAAGAAAAGTGATCATGACAATAAAACCAGCAAATCTAGCCTTAGATTCTAGTAAAATAATGACAAAAGTCAGGGTAGAAGAATTAAAAACTGGAAATATTGGTTGCTTTTCTTTGATAGCATTACAAAATTAGTGGAGAAAGGGAAAGCAGAAGATGAAGGACAGCCAGATTTTGGTGAAGCACTTGGCATGGTTTTTCATGACATTTCACTTGCAAAATGAATGCAAAGAGGTTTGGATATGAGTGCTGCTACACAGAGTGCATTGGAAACTAAAAACTGCAAATAGCAGTTAATAATAAATGGCAACTTATAATTAAGTTGAGGGAGGTCTTCAGAGGGATGTTAGGTTTTGGTCTTATTTATCATCTTCATTAACAAGCTGGAAGAGGGAGTAAAGACAGACTTTTAATGAAATTCATTTATTCAAATTCTAAGGCACCAAAATCAGCAACGAGGATAGAAGGAAAAGGGGCCTGTGAAGTTAGAAATATGGGTGGAGTATGCTGAACTCACTCATATTCATCTTAGAACAATGCAAGAAAGCATGTCTTGGGAAAAAAATTGGAAACACAGTGTTTAATGAGAAAGAGACAC